TCTGAAAGAAAAATAACATTGACAGACCCCTGACCAGATTGACTGAAAAAAAAGAGAGAAAATCCAAATAAATGTAATTGGAAACAAAAAAGGCAATGTCACAGCTGACCCTGAAGAAATTCAAAAAAGTTAATGAGAGATTGCTGTAAACATCTATATGCAAATAAACTAGATAAACTAAAGGATATGGAGGATTTTCTGGCATCACACAACCTCCCAAAGTTGGAACAAAAATAAATTTAAACCCTAAACAGACAAATAACAATCTGGGAAATCAACTCAATTATCAGAAACCTTCCCGTCAAAAAAGTCCTGGGTCAGATGGCTTCTCAGTTGAATTCTACAAGACATGCAAGGAAGAGCTAATACAAATCTTATCGAAAGTATCCCGGGCATTCAAGAAGGAAGGAATCCTCCTTACTCATTTTATGAAGCGAATATCATCTTTATACCCTAAACTGGCAAAAACCCTACAAGGAAAGGGAATTACAGGCCAATTTTCCTGATTAACATAGACGCAAAAATTCTCAACAAGATTCTAGCAAATCGTATTTAACAACACATTTCAAGTCTCATCCGCCATAACCAGAGGGGCTTCATTCCCAGAATACAGGTCTGGTTCAGCATTTGCAAGATCATAAATGCAGTTAATTCAGAACATAAACAGGTGTAAAACCAAGAACCATATGATTATCTCAATAGGCACAGAAAAAGTTTCGATAAAATCCACCATCCCTACTTGATGAAACCTCTCAAACACGAAGGCGAAGAATGAATGTTCCTCAAAACAGTAAGAGCCATCTATGACAAACCAGTGGGCAACATTTTGCTTAAAGGGCAGAAGCTGGGAGCATTCCCCATAAGAACTGGAAGAAGACAAGGATGCTCACTTGTACCCCTCCTATTCAACATAGTACTGGAAGTCTTAGCCAGAGCAATGAGGCAAGAGAAGGATATCAGTGGTATGAAAATATGAAAAGAGGAAGTTAAGTTATCCCTCTTTGTAGACACTATGATTCTAAACATAGAGAACCCTAGACTGTCAAAACATCCTCACACTAATAAATGACTTTGGTAAAGACTCGAGTTACAAAATCAATATGCAAAAGAAAGTTGCATTTCTACACGCCAACAACAAGCAGATTGAGAACCAAATAAACACAATCCTATTCACAATAGTCCCCCACACACATATACGAATTAAATACCTTGGTATCCACCAAACCAGAGAAGAAAATGATCTTACAGTGAGAACTACAAATTACTGCTCAAAGCAAACAAATAGAAAAACATCCCATGCTCATGAGTTGAAATAATCATTTTTATTAAGTTGTTCATCCTACCCAAGGCAATCTACAGATTCAATGCAATACCCATAAAATTGCCAATATCATTTTTCACAGACCCAGAAAAAACAACACAAAAATTTATATGGAAGCAGAAAAGAACACAAACAGCCAAAACAATCCTCAGCAAAAGAAACAAAACTGGAGATATTACAATCCTAGACCCTAAGCTATATTACATAGCTACAGTAACCAAGATGGTATGGTATTGGTATAGGAATAGGCACACAGATCAACTGAACAGGAATGAGATTCTGGAAGTAAAATACAATCCCTCAACAAACTCACCTTTGACAAAGCCATCAATAAAAAACACTGGAGAAAGAAAACCATATTTAGTAAATGGTGCTGGGACAACTGACTAGTCACATGTTGAAGAACGAAACTGGACCTCTACCTGTCACCATATATACAAAAACCAACTCAAAATGGATCAAGGACTTAAATATAAACCCTCAAACTATAAGACAGAGTAAACACAGGGAACACTCTACTGGATATCTGAGTAGGCGATGAATTCATGACTAAATCCTCAAAAGCAAGTGAAACAAAAGTTAAGATAAACAGGACAGGACGGACCTTATCAAACTGAAAACCTTTTGCATAGCAAAAGAAACCATCAAGAGTAAAAAGATAACCTACAGAATGGGAAAGAAATATTTGCAAGTTGTGCATCTGACAAAGGCCTAACATTCAGGATCTATAAGGAACTCAATGAAGGGAAAACACAAACAAACAAAAAACACCATTAAAAAGTGGGCAAAGGACATGAACAGACACTTCTCAAAGGATGATATATAAATAGCAAACAACCACATGAAAACAAAGCTCAGCTTTAAAAATCAGCAGAGAAATGCAAGTCAAAACTAATATGAGGTACCACATCACACTGATAAGAATGGCTATCATTAATAAATCAAAAAACAATGGGTGTGGTGCAGCTGTGGAGAAAGGGGGACATTTCTACACTGTTCGTGGAAATGTAAGGTAGTTCAACCTCTGTGGAAAACAGTATGGCAATTTCTCAAAGAACTAAAAATTGAGCCTCCATATGCTCTAACAATCCTTCTCCTGAAAATATTCCCAGGGGAACGTAAATTGCTCTACCAAAAAGACACATGCACCTACATGTTTACTGGGGCAATATTCACAATAGAAAAAACAGAACCAACCCAGATGCCCATTGAAAGCAGACAACATAAAGAAAATGTGGAACATATACACAATGGATATTACATAACCATGGAAAAGAACAAAATCATGGATTTCGCAGCAACTTGGATGCAGTAGGGGACCATCATACTAAGTGAACTATCACAGAAACAAAGAACTGAATATCACATGTTCTCAATCATAAGTGGGCCCTGAACACTAGTCACACTAGCATAAGCCTGGGATTGGCAGATGCTGGCCACTGCTAGGGAAGAGAGAGAGGGAGGAGGAAGAGGGCACATGAAAACACAATGCATACCTAGTCCTCTACCAAGGGGAAGTAGTGCCAGTTAGATGTCCAAACCTCACCTACGTGCATTCCTACTTTTACAGCAAATCCTTACTTGTACCCCACAACTCTAAAATTTAAAAAATTACTCTAGTTATTTCCTTTTTTTTTAATAAAATAAGCACCTGCCTCACAAGAATTTTCTAAGGCTCATATAAAAATAAATAAATAAATTCAAAAAATAGCTGGATCTCAATGACCTTGTCCCTAAATCTAGCAGAAAAAAATAAACATATTATTTGATTTCACAGTGGTATCTGATATAAATAGCTGGGAATTCATCAATAAAAACCTTCATAGATCATCCTTGTAATATATGATGAAGCATTAAATGAATGCAAAAAAAAAGGACTTAACCAATGCGTAGTCAATTTTATTATTTGATAGTACAAATTATAAAGAGACATATTGGAAAAATTATACTTTTTATAGATTTTCAGATAAAATAATGACATCCATAACAACATACAACACAAATTCAGTCATACAAAAAAGAAACCCATGAAATGCAAGTTGATAATTTTGTCAATTCAACAAATATTTGAGATGTCACTGAAAATTACTTTAATATAAGAAAACTTAAGATATCTGAAATCTTAGAGTGACCTTGGTAGAGATTTCCCCAAATTTGGCAATAATTCTAAACACTTATATTGTATTACAATAATGAGTTGTAAAGTTTAGAGTCATTTGTCTAAACTTTAAATAATTTAAAAAGCAATTTTGATTAACCATATTACAGGAAAAACTAAATTTGTCTCTCTGTTGACTCTATCAATAATTACAGTACAAGGCCATTGTGGTATGAAAAGGTGATCAGGGGCATAAGCTAAGCATGATAGGGGAAAAAGGACAGGGTGATGTTACAAATTATATCAAACAAATACGCTTTTTTTTTTTTTTTTTTTGAGTTGGAGTCTCACTCAGTCGCCCAGACTGGAGTGCAGTGGCCGCTCCCAGCCACCGCAGCCTCGACCCGCTGGACTCCGGCGATCCTTCCGCCTCAGCCTTCCGAGTAGCCGGAATTACAGGTGCGTGCTACCACGCCCGCTGATTTTTGATTTATTGTAGAGATGAGGTCTCGCCAAGTTGCCCAGGCGGGTCACGAACCCGCGGGCTCAGGCAATCCAATCACCTCAACCTCCCAAAGGCGCGGGATTACAGGCTGAGCCACCGAGCCTGGCAAATTTTCTATTCTTAAAGAGCAACACCTCTACCTACTCATTGTAATTATTTAAGTTTCAAACCTCTCAAAATGTAGATCTGACTAGCTGTGTGAACTTGAGCAAGTAAAAACTAATGTCTAATGACTAAACTCCGTTTCTTTTTTTTTTTTTGAGTTGGAGTCTCACTCGGTCGCCCAGACTGCAGTGCAGTGGCTGCTCAGGGCCACCGCAGCCTCGACCTGCTGGGCTCCGGCGATCCTTCAGCCTCAGCCTTCCGAGTAGCCGGAATTACAGGAATGTGCTACCACGCCCAGCTGATTTTTTGATTTATTGTAGAGATGAGGTCTTGCTGCCCAGGCGGGTCTCGAACCCCACGGCTCGGGCAAGCCACTCACCTCAGCCTCCCAAAGGCGCGGGATTACAGGCTGAGCCACCGAGCCCAGCTAGTTTCTTCATTTTTAAAATGTGAATAATAAAAGTACTTATGTGAAATTGTTGTAAAGATTAATTGAGATAATAATATAGTAAACATCGGCACAGTGACTGTTATATAGTAAGTTCTTATTTATTGATAATGATTGCTATTAATATTAGTGTAACTTCCTAAGTACAGAAGAATAAAGGAAAAATTATAGTACAATGTCATTATAACAATTGTACTATAATAATTTTGTATACTATTAGTATTTGTAAGGAACTGTCCTTTTGATCCAGCACCAATACCTTCATGTGAAGAACTTTTCTTTTTTTGGCCAACCATAACACTTTTCATGAGGAAAAAAATTTGATGTATTCTTGTGAGCTACATCAGATGCATATAAAAATGGGAAATTACACTTTTGTTATACAATATGCTCCTAGTTAGCATTTGATATAATTATATAATTAACATGAACCTTAATTACTTATTTTATTTCTAGGCCAAGTTTTTACTCTCTCTGCTTCTCAGATTCTTTATCTATTATATGATAGATCAGGGCCCCTTACCTGGAAGGCGGCTGTACACCACACCTTCTTCTCCACCACAGCACTCTAAATCTTTGCTCACAATCTGTCCGGCACAGCACTGCTGGCCATGGCCATCATGAAGCCTCCCAGCACAGCAAATCTGGTTTCCTGAAGTGGAGTACGGCATTCTGCCACAGCAGGAGTCTCCGATGCCAATGGAAACCCGATTGTGCTGTTCATCTGGACAGCATACTTCACCTGTCAATTTAGGACAATAACAATCATTGCACCCGTTAAAAAAATATGCTATGACTCACAATTAAGCTGTATCACAGTCATTATGCAGATGCAACTGATTGACAAAATTACTGGTAGGAAAAATGTCCTGAGTTGCAAAATCTCAAAATAACTCCAGAATTTTTGTGCTAAAGATGTATGAACATATGTGTCTGCCTACATGCACACACACCAACATATAGGTAACTGTATGTTGACTATTTCCGCTCTTCTAATAAAAAAGCACATTAGGTCTAGTCACAGATTATGTGGTATTACAGAAAACAATGCCTAGGAATACTTTTTTGTTTACTGTAATTTTGTTTTGGAAAGTGGTGTGGATTAAAAAACCAATTACTGATAAGTTTATATTGCTTATAATTATAATTTCCTTATATAAACTCTATTTATTGAACCAAACGAAAGACTTCCAATGGGAAAGTCAACTGAATGTGAAGAGATAAAAATACTGTATTTAAGTCAACATCTTAGTACTTTTCAGGGATATGGCAGTCACTGACTTTTACTAATATAGTTATTTCCAAATTCCCTTTTACATGACATTCTGGGAAACTTGAGATAAGAATAAGATAATCTCCTGCCCGGTGTCTTAAGATCAAAAAATTTAAATATTCTGAATACCAACAGATTTTCTGTGTTGTTGTTGTTGTTGTTTTGGTATAAAGAGACCTCTATTAGACAGAAAAATTGTGAAAGAAATTTTTAAAAATTGCTTCCCTTAGGGATACCTAGAAAGGATTAATTAAAAACTCAGTGTATCTAACATCCAAGTTTCATTTCTCACCTCTATTTCATGGTCCACCTCTGGTTGGATTCTCTCCTGGTTCCCTGAACCTTGACTTCCTCTTTCCTCTTTCCCTGCTCTTCCTTTTCTTCCTGCATCTTCAACATACCCTCTTCCCTTCCTTCTAGCACCCCTTCTTAAACATGTCCTCCTCCCTGAACAACATATCTTTCATTACATCTTATAAAGTATGTGAGTATGATGATCATCCCAGTGTGTCTTATAGCTTTAAACCATAGTCCAGACAATGGTTCTACAATCTCATTAATAACTTGTCAAATTTTCTTAAGAAATTGCACAAGTTCGCTGAAAAAATTAGAAATTTTAGTCCTAGGAATTTTAGTCCCAGAATTTCTGCTTGTTATTAATTAGTTCATTGTGTGTGTGTGTATGTGTGTGTGTGTGCGGGTGAGGGGGGTGTACATATCCTAAAACCTGTTTAGTAAAAGCAAGATGAACTGCTTACCAAAATGATATAAAATATGGGACAATATTTAACTATAGATAGATATATAAAGAGTAGAAAAGTAGGATAAGAACTCTTAGCTGAGGTCTTTTCTGTCCAAATTTATTGGTCAAAAATCCATTTCACTAGATAAAATAAACAAATTACTGGAAACAAACAACTTACCAAAGATACTACAAGAAGAGAAAGCTAAAACTAATATTTCTTATTGATATTTTAATGCAAAAACCACAACCAAATACTAGCAAACTAAATTCAATAGTCTATTAAAAGGATCATATAACATGACCAAATTGGATTTATTCCTGGAATGCAAGGATGGATCAACATATGAAAATCAATCAATATAATACACCATATCATTAGAACAAAGATAAAAAAGAAACACATGGTTATCTAAGTTGATGTAGATCAAACATTTGACAAAATTCAAACCCTTTCAATAAAAAACATTAACAAAACGGGAATAGAAGAAAAGTACTTTAACATAATCAAGGGCATATATAATAACCTTCAGCTAATGTAACATTTAAAAGTGAAAGACTAAGAGCTTTTCCTCTAAGATCAGGAACAAGAAAAGGATATTATGCTAATTTTCACCACATCTATTCAACATAATATTGGATGTTATAGGCAGAGCAATTAGGCAAGAGAAAAAAATAAAAGCCATCCAAATTGAAAAGGTAGAAATAAAACTAGCTCTGTTCTTAGACAACATGATTTTATATGGAGGAAATTCTAAGTGTTCCACAAAAACAATCTGTTAGAACCAATAAACAGATTCAGCAAAGTTGCAGGATATACAATATGTAACACTGAAAATTAGGTGTATTTCTGTTCACTAAGAATAAACAATCTGAAAAGAAAATTAAGAAGACAGTTTTATTTACATTGTCAAATAAATAAAATGCTTAAGAATGAGCTTACCAAAGAGGTGATAGACTTGTATACTGAAAATTACAAAATATCATGGAAAAAAATTAAAGAAGACAACTAAATGAAAGACCATCCCATATTCATGAATTGGAAGATCTAATATCGTTTAGATATTAATACTACCCAAAGTGATCTGTAGATTCAATGCAATATTGTCAAAATCCCAATGAGCTTTGCAGAAGTTTAAAAAAGCCACCTTAACATTCATATGAAATCTTAAGGAACTCCAAATAGCCAAAACAATATTCAAACAGAACAAAGTTGGAAGTCTCACATCCGACTCAAAATTTATTACAAAACTACAGTGGTAACAACAGACAGACATGTAGACCAATGGAATAGAATAGAGATCCTAGAAATAAACCCTTGCATACAATGGACAAATGATTTTCAACAAGATGCCAAGACCAGTCAATGGAGAAAGGATCATCTTTTTAATAGTGTTGAAAAAAATGGATATCTACATTCAAAAATAAAGTTGAACTCATATCATATACAAATACTAATTCAAAATGGATCAAAGATCTAGGTATAAAAGCTAAAACTTAACAATCTTAGAATAAAGCAGGGAAATTTTTTATGACATTGGATTTGGCAATGATTTATTGGATATAACACCAAAAGCACAGGCAATAAAGGAAAAAAAAACAGATAAATTGGACTTAATCATAATTATTAACTTTTGAGCATTAAAGAGTACTATGAACAGAATGAAAAAGGCCAACCATGGGAGAAAATATGTAGAAAGTCTATATTTTATAAAAAATAGTATCCCAAAGATATACAAATTTATAATTCAATAAAATAAAAACAGTACTCTTATTTTTAAAATGGGCAAATAACTCAAAAAGACATTTTTCCAAATATGTACAAAAGGCCAGTAAGCATATATAAATATGCTCAATATTGCTAATAATGAGAGAAATGCAAATCAAAAGCATAAAGAGACACCACTTCATACTCATTAGGATAGCTATTATAAAAAAAAAATAACAAGTATTAGTAAGGATATGAACAAATTGGCACATTTGTCCATTGTTGGAAGTATAAAATGTTCCACAAAACAGTATGGCAGTTTCTCAAAAAAATTAAACATGGAATTACTATATGATCCAGCAATTTTGCTTTTGTGTACATATACAAAATAACTGAAAGCAAAAGCTTAAACAGATATTTGAACACAGTGTTTATAACAGCTTTATTCACAATAGCCAACAGATAGAAAACATCCAAAAATGTATTGATTAATGCATGGTTAAATAAAATGTGATATATACATGTAATGAGATATTATTCAGCCTTAAAAAGGAATTAAATTCTGATACATATTACAACATGAATGACCACTAGGTGAAATAAGTCAGATAGAAAAGGACAAATATTGCATGATACCAATTATATCAGGTACCTAAAGAAGTCAGATTCATAGATACAGAAAGTAGAATGGTGGTCACAAAGAGTTGAGGGTAAATGTTAATTTTGTCAGAACAAAATGCATTTGCTGGGTCCCAGATACTAGGCTGTGACATCTTGCAAAATGGAAAATCTCTCCTCAAAGGTAGGAAGCTGTTCATGACTTTTCCTGACCAATTGCTAAAAGTTAACTTGGAGAATAGATTGGTCTTGTAGAATCAGTGAGGATCCTTGGTCTCAGAGGATCTCAATGTCCATTAGATACTTGATTCTAAGGTTTTATGAACTGGCTATCTCTTTATATGATCTGGTGAAAGTGGACAAACCTAAGTCCTTGCTCCTGAAAGACTCATTACAAACGATCTTTTGTCATTTAAAGGAGACCTGTTAACTCCCTTTACTATTAGGTTCCCCAATTATTATTTTTTGTGTGTGAGTTGGAGTCTCACTCTGTCGCCCAGACTGGAGTGCAGTGGCCGCTCCCGGCCACCGCAGTCTCGCCTGCTGGGCTCCGGCGATCCTTCTGCCTCAGCCTCCTGAGTAGCCGGAATTACAGGCATGCGCTACCACGCCCGGCTGATTTTTTGATTTATTGTACAGATGAGGTCTCGCTGCCCAGGCGGGTCTCGAACCCGCGGGCTCAGGCAATCCACTCACCTCAGCCTCCCAAAGGCGCAGGACTACAGGCTGAGCCACCGAGCCCGGCCTCCCCAATTATTATAAACTTTTCTTTCTACTTTTATAAGAAAGATTGGGTAAGCTTTGGGGATTCCAACTCAACAGCCTATGGACATCAGAGACATTAGTCTCCCAGTGATATTACTAGTTGAAGTTACTTAATGAAGGTCAAACAACTAAAAAGTAAAATAAATGACGTGTGAAACCATGCAGTTTAACTCTAGAACCCATGATGTTATCCACTAATTATTCAGTTTCAAACTACCAAAACACTACATAGAACTTTTTCTTTTATTAGAATGCGATCATACAAAATATTACCGGAAATAGTCATCTCTGACTAGGATTTTTTTTGCTTTTTTTAAAAAAAATGAATTTATATTGTAATTTTAATGATTATATTTACTTTGCTTTTGTTCTACCAACATATCAGGAAAAAATATTAAGTTACACATACAAAGTCATCATCAGTTATAGAACATACCACCTCTAAGGATTCAACTAATATTTAATCATGAAAATTCCAGTCTTGACTAGCTGAATGACTTGACCATGTTCCCATGTCCTGCTTTTCCTATTTGTAAAATAGAAATAGGATTCTAAGGCATAATCTCTTTAAAAATTATCAAAAATATTATTTGGTACAACTGATTCTTTTTTAGTTGCACAGTTCTATGAATTTTAACAAATATAATCACAATACAAAAGAGTTTCATACTTCTCCCCAGAACACTCTCATGCTATCCCTTTAGAGTCACACTCTCTGCCCATCTTTTACCCTTGGCAATTTTTCTCTATATCTACAACTTGTCTTATATAGTATATCACGTGAATGGAATATCATACTTTTTAGCTTTTTGAGACTGACTTCTTACACTCAGCGTAATACCTTTGTGGTATGTAACAATCTTTTTTCCATTTTATTGTTAGGTAATATTCCTTTGTATCACAATTTATCCATTTACTCACTAACGGACATTTGAATTATTTCCAGTTTTTGGCAGTCATGAATAGAGTGACTATAAACATACATGTGCAGGTTTGCGTAAAAATAAGTTTTCATTTCTCCAGGGTAAACAGCCAGGAGTGGGCTAAGATATGCCCAGTTTTCTCTCAAAATATAGATACCTAGAATTTGGGGGATAGTTGGTTCAGTCAATTATTGTTGAAAGGATCCTAAAATGTGGCATCTATAAGTAAAAGGGAATTTAGTAAAATTTTCATGATGATGCTACCAGATGCCAGTGAAGGGGGAATGAGCTTGATGTAATCAGTAAAATATTTGTTACATTCCTTTAGGTAAAAGAGTTCTCCTGTTTAGTCTGAAATGCAGTTGCTATACTTTTTAAGTCTTCACAGCCAGAGAACAAAATGTCCCTCATTGTAAACTTAATATAATGTGTCACATGGTCCAGGGCAGCATCAGTTAATTAAACATCACTTAGGACAATGGTGAGCTTAGAGGAAACATAATGTATATATCTATATTGGGAAAAGTCAACACTTTTTTAAAGCCTCTTTTAAACATAACAAATGTTAATTGGTTTAGATATTTTACTCATATTTCTCTGAATCCCTCAAAATCTTAGTTACTGACAGAAGAAAAGGCCTCACAAAACAAGAGATGTGGATATATCAATGAGAAATAACTGATTTTTTTCCTCAAAAAAGGGCTATTAGACATAAGATACAAGGATCAGTAACCTTCTCATTAACCTCTCAAAATGAATCTATTTCAGGCCAGGCTTGAAAATGTTTTCTCTCTAAAAGCTACCAAGCAGTCTAACAGTTAATTGTTATTCTTATCAAAGAATGACCCACATTAACATTTACTTGGGATCATTAGCATATTTATAAAAAAGCATGGTGGGGGAAGAAATCAGTATTCTATGCTGCTTTTTGTTATGGGGTGTTATGGAGGAAAGTCATGAGAAAAAAATGAAGTAAATACTATTAATCGATATTTCATACCCATCTATAAACAACAAAATGCCTATACCCATCTCAGCCTTAAATTGGCAGACTACCAATTGGATTTTAATTATCTTCAGACACAAGATGATTTTAGGTCACTGTACTTTTCTCTTTATGTAACCAGTCTTAAACTAGTTAAAAAAGACTAGTGGCTAAGAACAGAGGTCACAAGACAATCTCTTCATTCAGGTACAGTGAGATTAATGATTGGAGCAAAATACTCTCTTTGATTATTCCATGAGATTGCAATTCTTTTTCTTCTTGACACCATGGTAGGTATTCTAATACTGTGAAAAATAAACTGCTCAAAAAGAATCTAAATATGGGGCATGCTCAACAGATTGGTAGATAATAAAATGCTTCAGTTCCGAGTTTGCACGTGTATGCATATACAGACAATGAAGATTTTAAAAACTTTTATTATAAAAATTATTAAAAGGTTTATGTACTATCAGTAATGATTTACGAACTTCCATGGCTTATTTCTGTCTTTTAAAAATGTTTTTGGCTTCTTTCCTTTTTAGGGAAAAAAATGTTAAATTTTATTTTGAAATAAAAAGTAGATTGTGTTCTTAGTTCAAAATCTGACACTTTGCGACCTTATGTTAGCATTGAGAAAGTGACAGGCAAATCTCCCAAGTTAATAGCAGTCATATTAATAGATGCAGCTAAGTCTTTTTAATTAGTTTTAAGGAACAGAGGATATTTTTTTCACTTTGAATAGATTGTCACAAACCATAAAATCCAGGAAAAACAGTTACTGACAGTGCTAACAATAAAAATGTTTTGAAGTCTGGAACAGGACTCCCCTCACCTTTTTTAATTAAAACATTTGTTAACATGTTGATGCATTTTGGTTAAAGAGGAGTAAAGTGTTCAAAAGGGCATAGGTTTGGGAGAGATATACCTATATTTTCATGTCAGTTCTTCCATGCCTATTCACCTCTGTGAATCTGGTTTGCTACTGATTCTCTGTAAAACTGTTTCCTTACTTATAAACTGCAGATAAAATACCAATTCTGTGAAGATTATATGAGGTATCATATGTAAAGCCTTTAATATAGAGCCTGCCAGAAACTTGGTATTTTCTAAATGCCAGTGGTTGTTATCACTATTCTCAATTATATTATATTATATTCATTGGGCATTATTTTATGCAGTTGAAATTTGGAGAGAAAAGCTAGTTCAGTTGGCTGATAGGAAAATAAAAAGGGCGGGGGAATTCTGTTTGCTACCCTTGCTGCATTCTTCCTTTCCCTGCCTGATCTGGAATAATGAGAGAATACCACCAGTGGCCTAGAATTCTCAGTTAAGTGGAAATTGCAGTTATAATCTACCCAGTAACAATGCATGCATAGTTCAGAATAGAAATGGTAGAAGTAGAACAACTTCGTGGAGTGGAACAGTCAGCAGTTCACAGATTTGATAGTGAAAATATTTGGTCATTTTAGTAAAGCAGTCACAAAATAAAGGTGGTTAATGATATCTCCAGATACATATCCTTATATAGTCGATATTGTAAGTCTCTTGTGTTACCTCTCTTTTGCTTAAACTTTGACAAAAGAGGGAATGAGTGACATTTAAGGCAGACTATTAGCTGTGTGCTTCTGGTTCCATTTTTGAAGAGGGGAGTGTTTGAAATAGTTTACTGACATGAGTCATGTGTTTAATGTTTTCCCAAATTCCCCCAATTTTTGACTACACCTGGAAACAATCCTCACCTGGTAGAATTCTAGCATAATACCCAGAGCAGCATTGAAAATTTGGCTGTGTCTCTTGTATAAGGCCACCACAACAGACTCCGGTTGAATTCAGAACAAATGGAATATACTTTTCTTCACAACAGCGATTTCCAGGCTGGAGATCATAGAGAACTCCGTTACAACAAACCTAAAAGTTTGGAATCAGTTTTAAAGAAATATCGGTTAACAAGAGTATTATACCATCATATCTTATGTGATATAATTATTTTTTCATAAGGTCTTGATCTGAGACCATATTATTCATATTTCATAGGTTTTAAAAATATACTTTTTCATCTCACACAAATTCTCTAAATGCTGTTTGATACAATGTAGCTTCTTTTTAGTTTTCAACCATGTTTTGTGCTCTATAATAATACTCTAATAAATGTTTTTTGAATGTCAGTGTTTATAATGCAAAGATGTTCAGAATTATAATAATTTTCTTTATGCATATGTTTTTATTTCAATGATTGTTTAATTTAAAAATAGAACATCTACGAAAATTGTCTCTCATTGATCCTTTTTTAAAAACAAATTGCATTCTTCTTATAATTTATATGATCATTTATTTATGAACTGAATCTTCAGGCAAGGCAATCTTAACAGAGTCCAATATTTACATATATATGTGTGTATGTATATACATCTATATCTCATAGGCTACCGCATTAAAAAAAGGAAATTTATATGGAAATTAATTTTGAAAGACCCTTTTAACTCTGGTTTCTTCAGGAGCTATGAAAAAAATTATGTGCTTGAACAATCAAATAATTATTTACATACTCAAGTCTGAGAGACTAACTCACTGTATATACAACAAATCAAACAGTGAATAGTTACTTAGTTGTAGACTCAGAACTCATGTTTGGCATAAGTTACACTGGATAGACGTTTTCTGTGGTAGGTAAAATCAACTACTCTTTAAGAAGCATTTCTCTTTTTGCTTTTTGCTCATTGCTACCTCCCAAGTGTACCAACATTTGAACCAAGCTCAACATAGGAGTTGTAAAACGTAGAAGTTCTAAGTCTCCAACAAGGTTATTAGCATAATACTTTGTTTACTTTTCAAAAGTTATCTAAAAGCAAAATATTGGGTTCTTAAATTCATAGTCTATCCCTGTGGTTCTTCAAGTAGTCCTACTAAATGAATTGTAATGAATTTCTTTTGCTGGGTTTAGTTACTAGCAATAAGGATTTAAAGTTAGTCTAATTCCAAGGATAAATTGGGTGACTTTTCCTTTCAATGCCTTATTATGTCTGAAAAATAAATTTTAAAATTATGTCTCATTTTTAAGAGTTAAGCAAGAGGCTGGGTGTGGTTCCTCATGCCTATAATACCAGTACTTCGGTAGGCTGAAGCGAGAGGATCTCTTGAAATCAGTTCAAGATCAGCTTGGGAGACATAGCAAGATCCTATCTCTAAAAAAATTTAAAATTAGCTGGATGTGGTGGCATGCCCCTGTAGTCCTAGCTACTTGGGATGCGGAGGCAGGAAGGTTGCTTGAGCCCGGGAAGATGAGTCTGCAGTGAACCATGATTACACTGCTGCACTCCAGCCTGGGCAACAGAGTAAGACTCTGTCTCAAAGAAGAGAAAGAAGCAAAAAAGTCTTCTCTATGTATTTATTTGGGATTCATGAATATTGTTCAGGGAATAAAACAGCACACACCTCCCCTTTGTTTTTCAACAGTGATCTAAAATCTTGCAAGTTGTTTTTGATTTAAAAACATTTATTAAAGAGTGTGTTACTGGATACTTAAGCCTATCTGATCTTTCAGTTCAGCAAATTTATCCACTACTTAGCATCATATTTGATATTGTTCCTCAAATATTCATTTAGTGATGGGCCATTAGGACTGGTTCACTTCTATCTTTTCATTATCAATGCTTTCCCAAGCTTCTTCAGACAAGCAAAACATGTGTCTGGTTGAGATCATTGATGGATCCCAAAGGGGACATTTTCAAGCAATTATTTCTTTTGGGAATTTGCTCCATAGAGTATTTTCTAATTTTCTAATTCAGTCTGCAAGTTAGTTGTCTCAAACAACAAACAAAGACATTTCCATAACTTGAACTAATTTGTGTGTGGCTATTTTCAAATAGATGTCCTTTCCCTTGCTCAATAGTCTTCAAAATCACTTTTATAATCTAATGATTCTTATAGTGTGGTCCCTGTACCTGCTGAAGAGGCAACACCTGGGAACAAGTTAGGAATTCAAATTTTCACAATTCATTCCAAATCTACTGAATCAGAATCTCTGGGTCTGGGACCCTGCAGTCCTGTGTTTTAACAAGTCCCTCAGGTCTGATATTGAGATCTGTGACTGTAAACACACGATGAAGCTTATATAAGTTTTCTGAGTAACCCTGATTTCATAGTGATTTAGCTACTACATTTTTAGATTCACAATAAAAGTCTCTTTTCTATTTCTCTCCAACCTTTCAACCTAGGACACATATATTCATACCTAAGGTCAAATTGAAATTTACAAACATTTTTCCTCATAATTTTAATCGTCTTACTTTATTCCCTTGCATTTTTAATGCCTATGCTTCTTTAATCCAGTAATGAAAACAATCATTTGTCTAAGGCATCATTGAAAATTGTCTTTGTTTTAAATAATGTGTAATAGTTGCATCATAAGAATAACAGAATGTGAAATCTTTTCAAAAATATGAGAAGAGATTTGCACATGCTGATTTTCTAAGGGTTAGTTTTTGCTTCCTTTTTCCTCACTCTTCAATTTACATTTATTTTCTATAAAAGATGACCCTTCTTTTTTTCTTTTTTTTTTTTTTTTTTGGTAGAGTAAATATTGAATTTAGGAATATTATATCAACCAGTGACTTATTTGGCGCAAAGACTCATTAAATTTCTTCAAAATTTACACAAAGCAGTTTTTGAAATCATAGTGTAAAGGAGGATAGAAGTAATTTTATAAATAATTTATTCTGAACATACAGAAACTTTAGGCAAATATTATGCTTTGTTAACATTTTATTAATTTGTTCTTTACCTATTTTTTCTTCACCCCATGACATATATGTTTTACTTTAACATGAACATTTAAGGAGGACATATACCTTTTAATTTTTTAGAATAAACTTAAATTTAGAAATTGTCTTTCTAGTTTTACTCTACTTTGCTTTGATTTCACCACTAAAGTTTAGAGTTGAAACTATTATCAAATTATTTGTACAGACCGAAAGTACTATGATAGTTCCTGGCCAAAGTCAGTTTTATTTTGATAAAGCACATTGTTTTCTGCACTGGACAAAATTAAAATTATTAATTCATATGCCTGTAAAATTATACTCTACTTGCCAGCTTCTCATTGGATAATGCATATTAAAATAATGGAAGCAAAAGAAAAAAATTGAGAAGTGAATTCTATATTTTGTTCAACATTTTCTCAGTTTTATTTCTTTCTCATGAAGAACAATTTAAATGGACAAATTTATTCCAGTATTTTTCCTTTCTAAAATTCTAAATTTCATTTCATTTTATAAAACTATGTTCATCAGATTTGCATATGTGCATATTTAAATATGTGCATATTTAATGGAATAAATGATGTAAAACTTAAGTATAATGAGAATTTGGAGTATAGTTGTTAAAAAACATATAGTTGATAACTGCCGGCTTTATGCACTTCTTAGATGGTAATTACTACTGCTAATCCTGTGGCAGCCATTATAAATTGTATTTTGATCCATATCGCCTCAATAACTCACTTTCTTAATTATTGTGTTCTTTTTGCAGTGAATCTAATGAATTTAGTAGTAGCTTTAGTCATTGAATATGTGATGTTGACAAATAGGAACATTATTTCCTTATATGAAATTCTACCTTTAAACTAAGGATTCTCTGTGTTGTTTGTGAGTAAAAGTCATTTACAAACTACACTGTCTGGCCATATTATTGATCTGGTTTCTAAATAGCAACTGATATGAACACTAATCTGCAAATGACCATAATTCTAAATATATCTGCCAAACAACGAAAGGTTCTGCTCACAGTTATTCATCAGTGTCATGTAAACAAACACTCATTTTTAGCTCAATGGATTTGTTTTAAAGAAAATTTCAAGTCATTCAATCAAATACAAATTTGAAATGCTTCTTATTCCAATAAATTCATATTTCTTGTAAAGATCATGAAAAATGGGAAGGCTGAATTGTTCATGAGGATGATAGGATTTTTATAAGCATCCTTTCTTCTCCATAGGGTCTTAATAGCTTGGTGGAAATATTGGTCATGATACACCATGGTGTAAGAAGCAGATGATTTTAGTGAGGCTTTAATCTTTAGTGAGAAAAACATAATTCGCTGACTAGTTTGAAAAGACTTACTTTAGCTTCAGGAGAATAGCAAATGTGTCCACAGATATTTTCAGATGTTTGACACCTTACTGACTTGCAGAGGTCACCACTGTGGTCCTCCATTAATTTCTGAGTTTTAGGGCATGAATACCATGTTTTCCGTAGGAGATCATATCCAAGAATAATGCCATTTGGCTTCCCGGGAGGCACCCAATCAATTTGAAGTGATCTGCAATAGATAGAATAATCAATACTTCTGAAAAGATAATATTTAACATTGCTGCTATCAGCCTCAGCTACCTTTCAATTAATCTTCCTGATTGGTCAAAAGGTCTGTTTTATCAACAACTTCCTAACTAAAAATTGGCAGCAATAGATATTAATATATACAGAGAGTATCAAAAAGTATACATAGTTTAAGAAAGAAAGAAACTGTATAAAAATCATAATACTCAATATATACCAAAATGAAAAGTCACGTTTGACTTCTGCAATTGTAAGAGGTGCTCAAAGTGGTTACCATCAGTGTAAAAGTAATACATAGATAACATCTCTTAAAATGTATATCTATTTTAAGTATGATGTTCGCTCAAAAGATGGTGGTAATCAGACGAGTGCTAGCGTTACCATGTGACAGGAAGGACAGACAAAGAAAATGGCAGAAGCACGGTTGAGCGAATGTCATATTACACATTGCTTCCATAATTTAATTCAACTTTGAAAAGTAATACATAGATATCCATCTTTTAGAATGTGTATACTTTTTTGGCAATCCCTGGTATATCTATGCTCACATATGTGACTACCATGAAATATGTTTTGAGAATCAGTCAAAACTTTCGACTTTTTTAGCTTTTGGGAGAATAACACTTGGCATGAGTCGGGTGGTCTCTCACTTTTAAGTTTTAAAGACAAGAAGGAAATATTATTGTGGCTAATCAGGAAAATCAACAGAGCATTTGGTTTGGTAAGCAAAGGTACAAATAACATGACCTGGTAAACGGGATGAAAATTAGAATATGTGGCAAGCCTAATCCCTACTTCTAAATACTGCTATGGGAATACTGCTATGGGATGTGTATGGAGGTTCCTAGGAAATTTTAGCTTTCTTGACACCTCCTCGCTTCCTCATTCTTTCTGCTAACATGATGTCTGCAGCTTCAGCAATCCATCTCTCAGTCATTTGAGAAAGGCCATAAGAATTGCAAAGATGTTGCCATCAGCATCCTTTCTTCTCCATGAATTTAGGGCCACCAGTCCCCAAGTATTTGGTATTGCTGAACCAATGCCAACAACCATCTACAGCTGACTCTTAAACAACAATGGGTTTGAACTCCATGGTCCTACTTACATGTGAATTTTCTTCTACCTCTGTTCCTCTGAAACTCCTCATTGTGTTCAGAGTAAAGATGATAAGGATTAAGACTTTTATGATAATCCATTTTCACTTGATAAATAGTGAATATATTTTCTTTATGATTTTCTTAAGAATATTTTCTTTAGTTTATTTTAAGAATACAGTATATAATACATAAAGCATACAAAATATGTGCTAATCAATTGTTTATGTTATCACTAAGACTTCTCATCAACAGTAAGCTAATAGTAGTTAAGTTTCTTGGGAGTCAAATGTTATATGCAGATTTTCAACTAATTAGGGATTGGTGGCCCTAACCTCTGTATTACTCAAGGTCAACAATATATCTAGAGCCATTAATTTAAATCTCTGTTGTCAAGTGTTGCGTTACTTGCAGCCAAAATAAATGCCCAAATCAATCAGTTCTTTAGTATTACTTTTTAAAAATATGCTTTATTTTTATATATGTTAATTTTTTGACTAACTGAAACAGTTTGTCCAGAAACTCTTTAACTAGTATGGTCTGACATGTTTTTTGGTCAGAAGTATAGGAATTGGAGATTCTCATAAGTATCTTTATATTGTTATGTTCTCAAAGAAAATGTTTGGTTTTTAAAAATTGAGTCATAATTTCATTTGAAATTCACATATGCTTTCTTTCGGGGGAGGGGTTGTTACAATGAAGGTATAACATCTGATCAAAACTTTACTGCATTTTCAATGATCTATTAATATTTCATTTGCTATAGTGAATGAGGTCATAACATAAAGCTGTTCACAGAGGAGACAACCCTGAATAAAATGATTTACTCTCAGGTTAATGTTATAGAACTTTAATTCTGCACTTAGGCCTACTTGCCATAAAGATGCTGCCTAGATCACACATCCGTACTGTCTTTAGTATTTTCTTAATAAGCTTTATGAGCAAAAAGTAGTTAAAGTTTTTAATAAAGCCTTAGAGGTTTGAGTGTAACATATTTTTGCAGTGCAGCATGGTAAAGAAAACCTCCTCTTAGCAAAACACTAGATAAATATAAAAATAATTATTTTTGCTCATACTGTTTTCAAAAAATGAGTGTGACTCTGACATTCAAAATTAATTCTCTTTTTATAATTATATAATTTCCAGTCATAACAATTAACTAATCAAAAATAGGGTATATTTTACATATAAAGCATTTTCATAGGTACTTTGGAGGAAAGCAAGCATGTAAGAGCCTTGTCCCTCTACTTCAAAAGTCTAATAAAAATCTCACAGTGACTTATTTCTACCACTTTTCTGTTATTGTGTAAAATAACATTTTTAATACCTTTTTCATTTGAAGAAGAAATATGTCTTTTTAGGCCAAATTACTGGACTCTGTCAGAATTCCAAGTGACATCACATATTGAGAATTCAATTAAGACCAAACATTTACATTAAAAAGCAGCAGTCAAGATAAACCTCGACATTTTAATAGACTTCTTTAAAAAAAAAAAAAAAAGCAAATTATTATTTCACTTTGGGGAGGATACAAACCTAGCATATTCAGTAGTAAAACTCTGTAGATAGGACATTAATGTCAGTTACGAGAGAATAGTTTCATAGGTGACTTGTATAGACACTGTTATTATTCTAAAGTTTTTATTAAACTCTCAAAATTAATTCTACATTCTGAAGATATCTTTTTGGTATTCACTGCATAATCAACTACAGAACAGATTTTCTTTAAGTAACACTCAAGAATCTGACTTATCCACAAAAGCTGGTGAACTGGTAAAGTCTAGAAAACACCACCGAGAACACCATCCCTGCCATTATGACTTCCCTTTACTGTATAACATATGGTTAAGTGAGACCACCCATATTTTCAGTGATAACATGAACAATTTTGCTTTTGAGAATGTGAGTCAAGTATATATAGTTAAATGATTAAAGAAGAGTAGGGGGTTTAGCATATGCACAGCTCTCATTAGTGCCAAGTAGAAGGATACTAAAAAAACTTTGGTTGTTAATTTGGAAATGAAAGACATCACTGAGAAATATGCACCATGTTAACTGGATTAATGGTTTCATTGCCTTGATGTTTAAGAGTAAAATAGAAAAAAACATTCTATAACCCTAGGAATAAATGTCAAGTGTTGGGGGTGGGGAAGCTGAAGATCTTTTTTGTATAGGTTAGTAATAGTTGTACACTTATGGGTAAATAGAAACAGACTGCAAACCTTTGAGTGTCTTTTGTAGATTTGTTCATGACATAATTGTTAGAGTGTATCTAGCTTTCAGAGAACTAGGAATTGAAATTTAAGCTACCTTAATACAGCTTCTGATCAAAGTCACAATGTTTACACACGTTTTTTTCTCTCAAAATTGTGGATTACATTTTCCTGCTTCCTCTCATTCACATGCATATGCACACATATACATATGACATTGTGATTATACATTGCAGTCTCTAGGTTGTGTTATCTTCCTCTGAAAAAAACAGCCTTTAATAGCAGTCTGTTTAATTACAGGGAAATTATGAAGTTGAGGAAACTTGAGTTTTAAAATTTTTTATAATCAATATGTAATAAATGTACATAGTTTTGGAATACATGTGATACATATATTCATATAATTTGTGAACATCAAATTGGTGTGACTGGAATTCTATCACTTTAAATATTTGTGTTTTTTTAATGCTAAAGACACGAATTGTTTTTTTCTAGCTATTTTGAAATATACAGTAGATTATTATAAAATATAGTCACCCTACTGATCTATCAAATAATAGTGTTGGGTGCATATATATATTTATAATACATCCTCTGGCTGAATTAAACTCTTTATCATTACATAGTGAGCTTCTTTGTCTCTTTTTTTAAAGTCTTTCATTTGTAGTCTAGTTTACCTGTTATAAGTATAGCTACTTCTACCATTTTTGGTTTCTACTTGTATGATATCTTTTTCCACTTCACCACTTTGAGTCTAAATATGTCTGTATAGGTGAAGTAGGTTTCTTATATGCAGCATATACTCTGATATTGTTTCTTTATTTGCTCAGCAATTTTATGACTTTGGAGAATTGAGTGCATTCACATTAAGAATTACTTATAAGTAATATTATGCAGCCATAAAGAAGGACAAAATTATGAACTTTGTAGCAACTTGGATGGACTTAGAGTATATAATACTGAGTTATCTATCACAGAAACCAAGAACATGCCCTCACTTAGAAGCGGACTTTAAACAATTACTGTAATACTATAAGAAAGGAATTAGCAGAACTGGGAAACTGCTGGAGTAGTTGATATTAGCAGAAGTGGGAAACTGTCAGGGGAGAGTGGGGGCACACCTCAACAGCAAGGGTACTTGCATAACAAACATTTGTATACCTACCCCTGAATTGTACCCCACATCTAAAAAAACCCACAACTTATGACTGTCATTTTGTTGCATTTTCTGTTTGTTTTGTAACTTCTCTTCCTTTCTTTTTTGTGTTTAACTGATTTTCTCTGGTAGAATGTTTTGTTAGTCTTTATTTCTAGTGAATCTATTATAGGTTTTTGCATTATACCATTTCATACCATGAGGTTACAGATAACATCTGATAAGTATGGCAAGTTATTTTAATGAAATGATAACTTATCTTAGATCACAAGAAATAATAGAAACAAACTTTTAAAAATAAATAAAAACTCCACAATTTACCTCTATCCACATTTTGACTTGTTGTCTCAGCTTATATATTTTTTATATTGTTTATCTCTTAACAGGTTGCCGTAACTATTATTGCTTTTTATAGATTTGTCTTTTGGGCTTCATACTAGAGCTATGAGTGGATTGTATACTGTAATTACAGTATTAGAGTATTCTTGGTTTGTTCACATACTTAATTTTACCAGTGAGT